TTAGATCTACTGAGGTTCTTGGCCTGTCAGCAAAGGTGTTAGTTTCTGACCTCAGGTACTCACAGACAGATGGGACTTCAAAATTATTTACTCCTTATTAATATGTCCTGGTCTTCTAAATTGAGTGATTTAGGAATATAAACCCTATTGACTTCATCATCAGAGCTGGATTAATATTCATTAACCTTCAGTGAGGCTCCTATGTTTGACCCTTCTGGCAGTTTTGAAAATCTCTCTTGGAGTACTGCTATTTAATTTGATACATCAAAATTTGTTTTGTGTTCATAACTTAATGGCTTCCATTTAACAAATGTCAAATCTTGGCTGCTGTTAGTCCAGGACACAGTGTGCTCGCTTGTGACAAAAACTGTCTAAGACGACTAATGAAGTGAGGAATAACACCTGAATTAGGTGGAAGCTCCAAATCCCTTACCTGTTGATATTTTCTTCAAATATCCTGCCCACAAAGGACTGAAGTCAGGTATAAAAATATGCTCTGTAGACACGTACTTTGTAAAGTTTCCTTTTGTAAGTAATAGATCCCTTTTATGTCTTCTGCTGAACAAAAAAGGTACTGAATAAAAAAGCTAATTTCCTTTGGAACTACAAAAATAATTTCCCAATGGCATTTTGCAAGCATTCACCTAACTGGGATGCTCTTTATCTTTCTTCCTGTTAAAATGTCAAGCAGATAAAAGTCTTCTAAATAGCATTCTTTCCTATTTTGATTAATTTTGCATAGTGTTTTCCCAGAAGTATTGATACTTACATAAACCTGAGTTCTGATTCTCTTCTGACTAAGACTTCCCGAAGTCTCTGGATCTTTGCCATCTCAAGCTCAATTTCCTCAGGCATCATTGTTGTTTCAGCCATTGAAATGATGTCAAGTTGATCTGTGTGTGAAAGCAAAGAAAATGAATTAAGCTAGTCAAACTGTCTTAATGGGGTTTTTTAGGAATGTAAATTTAATCACAGAGCTATCTGACTATGGGGTAATTAATGCAAGTAGTAAAGAATATTCTAGCTGAGTGCTACATTGACTGGTTTCTCTATTGTTTTGCTTATTACTTTCAAAGTAACCATTTTGACGTGAAAGAATTTCTAAGCCAAAGTTACATTCATTTTGTTAGTCAGAATCTATCATACCTCTAAGGAATCACAACCCAGTACATAACTATAGCTACTGTTCCTTAATTGATATCACTACAGACTTTGAAACAACAGACATAGGTTGCTACAAAACTCACTCAAAGCAATTACTTGCAACTCTGAAGAGCCCTATCAGCACATGTGCAGGCAATGTAAACTGATGAAGGTTTCCCATCTTTAATTCTTACAACTCTTCATGCCATTCCACCATCTCAGCTTGACTACCAGCTAAAGCCCAGAGCCAAGGATGTGATTAGAAATTACATACAGCCTAATCCTTCCAGGGGCTGAGTGTTTCTCACTAGGGCATTGAAGTCAGCTGAGGAGACAAACAGCACCTTGTAGCAATTACTTGGCAACTGGTAAGGCTAGGATCATTCTATGATTTTTTCGCTATAATTGAACTCTACTAATCCAGAGAGAAACAGGACTATGAACTGTGTTCATTAAAGGTAGAAAGAACCAATTTACAGAAGGTGGATTTGGGAGGGAGAAACTTGGCGTCTTGAAAACCTTGTTCCAAAGGTTCACAATACTTGGCCTTCATTATGAACAAGAATTTAGAGACTAAAAAATAGACTGCATGCATGTTTTGGCACCCAAATGGAGACATATTCCTGAAAGCAGGCCTGTTTCAGCTGTATTAGTTTAAAAAAGGAAAATTGAGGGGTCAAAATGTACCCCGCATGATTATGCAAAAAACAGGAGACAAAAAGCATCAGAAAAAAAGCTGTTCAGTTAATTAAGAGGAGACGAATTCCAAAGTCCCTCATGACAGACTAAGCACAAAGAGCTGAGAAGAATTTCTGTCAGAAAATTGGAGTAGGAATGAAACGACAAAATCTCAACAAACACAGCCCCTGCATGAACTTAGTTCACAAAGAACTGTTCTCCCAAAATGAAAGCGAAGAAATTATAAAAAAAATACATTTTCTTTATATCCTATAGAATTTCTTTATATAAAGAAAACATTTTCTTTATATATTAAAATACATTTTTTTTTTGAAGTTATCTTGACAGTATTGTCTGCAAGTTTTGGCTTCACTTCATAATGAAGAAAGTAGGCAAATAAATACTAAAAATCACTGGGTTTTTTCAAGGTAACAGAATCTTGAGGGGAAAAAAAGTGACAGAGGCTTTGAAATGTCTCCCATAAGTGAACAACCATTTCTCAGTAGTTGTTTTTAAAACTCAGATTGCAAAACTGGTTGGTAGAGTAAGGCTATCTTGTGTGTCTGAACACACAGGCTGTAGAAGATGGATTTTCCTATTATAAATCATTGTGTGTGTTTGGGGTATATTTAGTTGAGTTACAGCCTAAATGTCCTAACAAGTGTTGTTTCAGGTATGTAATCAGTGGCTAGCTTCACAGTATAAAGCATGCGAGTCTTTTAAAACCCCAGCCACTAACTTATGTTGATGTTGAAATAGAACCTAAAACACTTGGAAATTCTAGATCTATTTGAGGAAGGTTGAACACGGCTGAAAATCCTTTAGGGACTGTATACAGCCCCCACCCTCTCCCTCCCCTCACACTCTTACCTGGGTGTGTGGGAATGAGGAATCACAGCAAAGTCTTGAATTTAGCAGCAGAGTACCTAACATGCTGTGCTACCACTAACAGATGGGCAGAATTATAATTCAATATTCACTAGATGTTTATCAGACAGGAGTCAAAAGAAATTAGAACAAAGATTCTCTAAGTATAGTTTTGCCTCTTATTGCTTTTCGGGGTTATGGAGTTACTTTATCTGCTTGCAGCATAATTGGCTTTGGTGCAAATTTATTTTCCAAAAATATTAAGCAGGAGATAGATAGGAAGTCGTTCTGATGCTACTATGAATTAAAGCCAATAATACCAGTAATTAGGAAGATACGACACAAATATATTACACATACATACATATTTTAATATTAGTTCTCAAGAGCTCAAAAACAGGGAAAAAAAAGTAACTGTCTTATTTCCACTCTACAACTGTGGTTTTAAATGCCTCAGTGTTACCTCTTGGATCAGATCAGCTGTCATCCTGTGATTTCAATAATTCAGGAGGGGAATCATGAACAAGCCTTATGCCCTGAGTATGTGCTTAAAGCCAGCACAAGAATTAGTGTGACAAGCAGTAGTGTAGTCTGACCTCTTGCAGAACAGTCACAGATTCTCCTTCACATCCCACTCAATGTGTGCTTGAAACAGAAAAAAATATTTTTGAAAGCTATCCAAAATTATGCAATGTTTTAAAAAGAATCAAAAATGTAAGCAAGACACCATGAGTTTGAAAGTGGAATATGGAAACGATAAGATACTTGTTGCAGCTGGCTTTCTTTACCTGTCTGCGGCAACAACTCCCGTTCGAGGTGAGACAGCACGAGAGCCACACATCCACCGCCCCCGGGCCACTGAGACACAGACACCAATATGAGGATATCACAAATGGCGTTTATTAACTCTCTTTCACTGCTTTTATATGCAAACTACTTCGTTCCTGCCTTTGCAGTTACATCATAAGCTCTATCACGGGGCGGTCAGTCCCTATCCTTTCCGTACATCGCGAGATCTTCCGGTCGCCAATCCCTACAGATACTAGTTTGCAACTTGTCTGCAAACTCAGAGATGTAGTTAGAATAATACAAAGATATTAAGGAGTTGTTTGATCTATCTTCGTGGCAGTATGTGTGCTGTGAACATACTGTAAGGCGATTAATTCTCATGGACATCTCAGACTGGAAGGAGGACTGGCAAGAGCTGGATTAAAGAAACTTTGAGAGGAAAAACCAGACCAGGCAGTTGAAATAGGAAGAAATTTGAAGGTAAAGGTGAGAATATAGAGAACTGACCATGATGCTGTGGTGCTGGAAGAGATTCAGAGCCAGTTCTAGAAGGGCAGGCATGGTCTTCGAAGGAGAAGGAACCGAAGTCAATCCATAATTTATGCATGTTTACCCCTGTACTATTAAGGAACTATATAATTTTTGCATCGAATCTCCAGCTTTTCTAAACTTCCCTTCCTAACAGATAAAGAGTACATGATCTCCTTTGAAAGCTGCCAATTCCCTTTATATAGGTGAGTCCATAGGTCGGTCTCAGAAACCCAACACAGCTGCAGTATACCACCCACTTTGGCCCCCTCTGAAAAGTATGCATTTTTAAGGCAGGCTTTGAGGGAAAAGGCACAATTGGAACACCGTATTTCCCAGAAATCCTGAAATAGTAGAGCACAGGTGTGAGAACATTCTGGAAATACAAGCCTCTGAAGAGGCCACAGGTCAGGATTCCCACCTTGCACCTTCACCACTGTGATCCTCACACATCACGAACCTGTTTGTTTGTGTCTAAATTTCTCTTCCAGTACTGTGCATAACTGTTTGGCTTACCTGGCAGGAGCTATGCTGAAAGACAATTAATTATTTTTCATAAAATGGTTTGAGCTCCTGGGATATAAACCACTTAGGAAAGAATATGTTAACGTTATTAAGCCTTTGAGTAAAGCTCTAGCTCTGTCCCAGTGATGAATGACACCTTTAGTGCATGATTCTGAACAGCTTCACACAGAAGTCTCTTACCTTTTCATAAAAGAAAGAAGAAATGTTTCATTTTATTTAAAGCAGGCATGCATTGGCAAATTATTTTTTAGCATATATTGTTATTAAGCCTGTTTCTGGTAATGATCCAAAATTCATAATGCAAAAGTGGAGACAACATTGAGATGAGTCACAGCCAGTAACAGGATGAAACTATTTTGTCTGCTCTGCAATCTCCAGGATAATTTTCAGTGACAAAGAAACAAGTAAAATATTATTACTGTATGCACAAAAAGATATTAGCATGAAAATAATTACTATATAGAAATAAAATTATCAAGCTATTACATATAATGAAAGGGACTGAAGAGGTAAACCTGAAGCTGTTTATGCATATTTTTGCTTCAATTTAAATGCAGACTGGTATAGTTAAACTGGGTATTAACGTAATGATCACATTTCATCCTCAGTGTGCCAGCCAGCAATGGAACATTAGCCACCTGTGATGAAAAGCAACAAAAAAATAAAATGCCTATTAAGTCAATAAACTGAAAGGAAATTTTAAAAGAAGCCTGAAGTTACACAATGAGAAATGGGAGAATGCATTACACCTGGTGTCAATAGTTTCAGATAAATTGATAAGGAATGCTTTAAGGAAAAAGTAATTATCACAAAAAATCCTGCTGCTGTCACTTGATGCGAGCATATTGTTCCCTGGGAAGCTCATTGTGCTCTACAACCATTAGCTGATTTAATTCTAATTTGGGGGTTTTGTTATCATCATCTTTGTAAAAGACAGAGGCATGGAGGTGAGGTGTATCAGTAACACAAAGGGTCCCAAACCTATGCTGTAGGAACCCAAAACTATGTCATTGTTATTCTGGTGGTATCCACGTACTGAACAGATATCAGGCCTCTACTCTATTAACACCTAAAGCAGTATGCAGGCAATTTGCAGTCTAGAGGCAGTAAGAGCTGAGTGATGAGTTGCTTATGGATACATAGCGAGTCTGTGGCAGAGCCAGTGCAAGGTCTGCTGGATCACAGCATCTTTTCAGGACATTGTTTATCCTTTTTCTTGCTTGGGAATCCGTTGCTGTTGGAAACTACCAGTCACTCAGCCTTGAAGAGTCATCTCAGTCATCTAGCAACAGAAGAGCTCCAGAATAGGTAAGGGTAACAGCCCAGCTACTCTGCCACTTTTTTTTCATCCTTGACATGGGTG